CGAAGCACAGATTTTTTTCTCTTTTTCTTTTTTTTAATCCTGCTGTATGTCCTGCAGTGAAATGTTCAGGATGACCCAGCAGACAGGACACTGGTTTCAGTAACACCGGGAAGTGGCTGCTTTGTGGGATCTTTATGGAAGAGCTTCAGGTGTCAGGGAAGCCACCTGAACTGCTCCTCCCCTCTGTCCCTGGGATGTGTGTGACAGACGCCTGTCACCTGATAATGTCCTTCTGAAGCAAAATAGGTAGGAGTTGGAAAATTATTTTAAAGAAATCAAACTCACGGTATAGGCAACTACAGTCATTAGATTTCTCATTTTTATCCCTGCCAACAATCAATAATTAATTAAAAACTGTACCTCAGTTGTCCCTGAAGAGGGAGGAAGCTTTTTCGGTAGCTGCTGCTGCCCCCCCTCCTCCTCTTCCTCCAGTATGCCTTCGCTGTTGTCACTCTGAGTAGCTTCATCACAGCTAATACTCCTCTGAACTCCTCGTCTGTCATCAAACTCAGCAGCACTGTTCTCACTGGTATCGCTACAAACACTGTTCTCTCTGCTTCGAGACTTCAAAATTGATTTACGAGGGACATATTCTCCATTCACAACATCAACAAAGACTCTATAAAGGAAAATGTTAGCTTTAATAAACCATTTCAGGATCAGATGACAAATTTACAGTGATCTGGCTTTGTCTTTTGTACAAATTAATTATGATGTGCTTTTCCAACTTTTTCGCTGCAGAATCACAATACTGTACCTTCTGAGGCATTTTATTTACCAGTGCACAAGAATCAATTCTGCAGAGCAAACGCTGTTATGCCCTTGATTCAAGCATTAAGTTGGTACGTTCTTTCAGCAGAAAATGTATAGCTTTTTGAAAAATGTTAGAAAACAGAATAATGCGAGTTACAAAAAGTTAGAAAAAAAGGTAAACTAAATGATTATCAGGGTTGTTCCTGTGAAGAGATTCAGAAGATCACAATGTCACAAGGTATTCTAGAGTTGAGTCCTTGTCAAATGTAGAATAAAAAATCAAAAAACATTCATTGTAGGTGGAAAGGATGGAGCTTTTTTTCCTGACAAGTGTCATATTCTGCTTTAAGTTAAAAAAAAAAAAAATTTAAAAATCAGCTTTTAAGTTCATATCGACAGGAAGACACTTTTCGAGTATTAACAGACTGTAAACTGACAAAAACAGCTCTTCCTACAGCTTGTACTGCATCTCCATGACTTACACAAGTTAAGGGTGGGTGGAGGAGAAAGAGAAGACAATGCCAACTTTATCAAACTCATAAAGGAGGAGCCCAATGACTGGATGAGCTTTAAGGGTGTTACTTATTTCTAACAGCTTTATTCATCAGGCACTCATGGGAATATATCTCCACAGAAGATGGAGCATTTCATCAACCAGTCTAATGGCTGTGTTTATCTCTACAGACATAAATACTTGTTTAACTCTCCTCTCCCCTTAGTTTAGTGTTCTGTCCAATCCTCTAAGCCAAACACTGTTTTTCAAGCTCTCTGTGTGTGGGTGTCCTACAGGTGAGCAGTGTTTTTTATAGAGAAGAGAGACAGTGATGGACTTAAGTTAGGGAGAGAGAATGCAAGAGAAACTAGACAAACAAAGACCTAAATATGTTGTGAAGATACTGGAAGGAAGGGGCAAACCCCAGAAAATTAGTAACTGGGAAAGGAGGGATATTAAAAGTGGTAGATCTGGTTGGTTCTGTTTGGAAACGAACACAGAAGCAAATGACATGGAATTAACCAGAATGCATAACATAACTGCTGCATTCCTTTCTGAGCATGGTATGCACTGGCAAATTTACCTCAATTTCAGAAGCTCTGAAGAAGCAGGTAAATGACAGACTGCCATTTGGAAAAGGAAACATTAAGGTCAGAAGTGTTTTACAGACATGAAAAAATGCCAACCATGCAGAAGCCACAAACTTCCATTTTTAAGTTCTAAACTCGGTTCCAGCTGTTTCTTTCAGGGAATTGTGGGCTGGTTTCACACTACAGGTGAACACAAGTGACAAGAGAAGGAAGTTCACGTGCCAATGCCATAAATTACACACCGGTAAATGTCTGCTGGGGTTTTGATGTTGGGCAGTTCTGGAGCTGGGTGGCCATTGCCACTGCTGTTCTTCCTTTTACGCTTGGCCTCTTCTTTCTTCTCGCTGAATTTTAAAGTAGTATTTTTTCCTGTGTTTATTCTTACCTGAAAATTGAACACAAAGGATGGTCTAGACCAGAAAATCAACTATCACCAGGCTTCAGATGAACTGGCTTCTGACATTCTCCTACCTGAGCAGCTGGGGACTAGGAAGCGTAGATGAGTTAAACAAATGAATGAATGGTAACATTCATAGTGTGAACTGTTTATTCTCTACCACTTGCACTGAGCTGGGGCATTTCTCTGCACTAAGGTGCACGTATTTTGCATATAATATATGACAATCTGCTTATTCAAACTCTGCTCAACAGCTGAGCTGTTCAAAGGTCAATTTCAAGGCAAGTGAAAAGTAATTTTAAAAACTCCTGGACAGGATACTACCTTTTACAGAGCCAGAAGCCAGAACAGCAAGCTAGACATCTGAAGATCATTTTTTTTAATACCGTATTTGGAACTGCAGGATTTAAAACAGTGGGTTTCAAGCATTTGAAAAATATCCAAATGTCACCTACAGTTAGCGTTCTACTTTATCTACATAAGCTAGAATTTTCTATTTTAGATATGGTATAGATGTTTCATGCAATCTCTTGAATGAAATATACAAATAATGAAATACAAACCCTTTTAGGTTCAACAGTGTGAGAGAAAAAAATAGTTGGAACAGAGTTATCTCCAACATCCACGTCATCTTCATCATCACTGTGGTAATAAGTAGAGCCGTTAACCTGGCCCCCAAACAAGCCTGAATTTGTTACTTCTTTATGGAAGTTGCCCTGAGTAATACAGTCTTCTGCCCTGTATGTCCCATTCAGATCTATCCTCTTATCTTCCTTCTCCTCTTCAGAAGAGGTTGCATCTTCTCCATTTGTCTCAACTGTATCAGGCATCCTGTGGAATGCAAAATATATTAAGTGAACTGAGGCAATTCATGCTCTTGAGAGACACAAACATATGAAACAATGAACAAGCCTGAACCTAACTTTTTTTACACAGGTGCTGTATTTTTAGCCAGGCTGTGGAACTTCTTAGTACTCTCTAACAATCACTAGGTCCTCTCCATGTGACCTGGAAATACTGAAACTGTGACATCATGGCTAAAACCACATGTATCGCTTCAGAATCAGAATAGATCTAAGGGTGTCATTTAGCGCTACCTGTGTAACTCCCATACTGGAAATGATGGATTTCCCTAGCTTGTGGGAAGTGAATTTCACTTCCCCCCTCTTCTGTCATCTTTAAGAAAAAAGTACTAGAATGCTGGACTGTTGTGATTCCACAGAGGCAGATTTTGGCAGCTTTGACATTGCAATGCCTGCTTTGTTCATGTTCCGCCCCTCTTCCACCTATTATGACTTTCACTGCATCACTTTGGTCAGCTATTTGCACTCACAGTGGATAGATCCTGTGTGTACCAACAGCATCCCACCCCTACATTTTTCTGAACTCCAGCCCTGCCTGTGCCACAGCATTGCTTGTACCTGTCAAGTTCACCAAGGATCTCTTCTTGTCTCTCGAGCTCTTCTAAGCGGGCCCACAGTTCCTCCTCTGACTGAAAACGCCCCGTTGATTTTGTATCACTTCCATTTGCTTGAAAATCTACCTCAAAAACATTTGATACTTTTGGCTTTGAATGAGGTCTGTGAGCAGTTCGGTATTTTCCTGTGCAACAAAAAGTAAGACGCAATTACTAAAGCAATTGACAAAAAAAAAAAAAAAATCCAACAAAAAACATTGGGGGGGGGAAAAACCACAAAGGGGTTAAGGAATATGGGCAGAACGTTTTCCATTTCAAATTATTGTTTAACTGTTTAAGTGAAACTGTCAATGAACCAGAGCACCAGCACAGGATAATAGTCTCCGGATGTTACAGGAATACCGAGGCAAAGCAGAGATGTTTATTTACAAAGCAGGAGACACTGATCCTGTGACAGTTTTATTACTATGTGGGGTTTTTTACCTCTTGTGCCAAACAGTAGATTTTGATTTGCTCTGATAGATACCAACATGTGAATGTGACATTTGCTCACTGTCCCATTAACAGCACATTTTATTAAACGGGAAAACAAACCTAGTTTGTACTCTAGCTCATTTTTTATAAAGTCACCTATATTCAAAAAGCAGAGCTTTTTGTTTTGGATTTTTTTTAAATAGACAATGAAGACCATTAAAAATGATCTCCGGAGTCAACTGGACAATCTGACCCAAATCCAGTCATTATGAATCACTTATTTGGTGAAAAAGACTCTGTGAAAAGCATACATAAATCTGCCTTTCAGAAATAATAAATATAAACCCCACTTAAAGCTTCAGAGGTGACCTGAGATACACACTTGTGAGCAAATGGTAGTCACTGACAAGTTCTTGCTGGCATTTAAAAGCTTTGCTACCTCATAAAACGGTGCATCCACTGAGGATGGGGAATACTTTTTCCTGTTTGAGTGCTGTCTAGCACATAGGGAACAAACTGCCCGCCAACAATACTAATGCTTTAGCCCTGTCTGGGTGAAGGGCAGGACTGTTTCTTTATCCCCCCCTTCACCACAACAGCAGCAGCTCCCAGGAGCTGTTTCTGAGTGGTCCCAGGCAGGTTCCCAAGGGGAATTCCCTCCTCTCTGCCCATCACCACCCCCATGCAGCGCCTGCACCTCTTTACAGGAGTGAGACCCATCCCCTTCCATCACTGTCACAAATACACCCCATGTTTCGTCTGTGCAGTGGGAACTCCAGTATCTCTGTGGGTCTTTCTGACACTGCTTTGTGATTCTAATCAACAGCAATAAAATGACCTCGTTGCTCAGCATCCTTCAAGTTTTAAAATCTCTATTAACCAACTGTGTGGCCATTATTTTTTTAAATTTTAAGAACTCATGGCTTAAACATATCCTTATTCAAATACGTCAGCTTATACTTTAATCCTGAGTTAAATACTGATTCAACAGCAACATTAAAAAGCAAACAGGTGACTGCAAGTCATGTTGGAATGTGTGTCCTCTACTCTTGCACGGGATAGCACTTTTCATCATCTCGTTAAGAAAGGGCTGAAATGTATTTTATTGAGATTTGAATATAAATTGAGGTAAGCTAAGCAATCAGAGCAGCTTGTGAGCATTTCATTCGGTATAATTACAAAATTAATAAATAAAATTTGGAAGGATTAGTTAACAATCTATTTCAATTTGGTTTTCAAATTGTGCCCGTCTAATTTCTTTCTGTTACCCTTCAGTATTAACCACGGACTTGACTACCAAGGTAAGCACAGGCCTTCCTGAACAGCAGCAAGTGCTTCAACGTGCCAGGCATCTTCCCTCCTAGTTCCAACACTTCTGTCAGTTAGGAAACCAGGTCAGATCTCAGAGACAACAGAGGGCAACCACCTTCTACGCCAGCATCCATTGTGCTTGCTCACTGTTACCACAGCACCACCATTAACCTCATACACTAATGAAAAAAGTGAAGTATTAAAATCCAGAAAATGGATACTCATTGATAAACTAATGAGGTGCTCAGGATACTTGTTTTTGTCTTTCTCAGAGATACAGCCCATTTCCACGTGAACAAAACCAATGAAGCCCAGACTGCTTCAATATAATCACTAAGTTGCTCTTTTACTTACTTTCCTCTCAATCTCAGTACAGACTGGTGCTGAGAGAAGATGCAGGTAATTCAACTTTACAGATTTTCAGCAAAAATTAAAGAGGGTTTCAGAGAACAGTAGAGATGATGTAAGTTTAGGATACAAAAAAAGCTGCACATAGGTTGACCTGGCATCCACAGCATCCACCCTTAATACAGTGGGAAGCATTTCCCAGAATGCTACTCCTCCTATTTTGCAATGACATCTATGCACTGGAGAGACACCCCCTTTGTCAGCCTTGGCATTCAGAGATTCCTGTGATTTACTCTAGAAAAACCTAACAGTGAACTGCCCAGCTCAGCCCTCTGCAAATCACAAGCTACTGCTCCTCCTAAAAATGTCCAAGTGATGCTATTTTCCGACTGTAAAATTACTTCCTCCAACTTTGACTGAGTCTTACCTATCAAGCACTACATCAGATGGCACAGAAATTACCCAATTCCTTAGCACAACTATCTTTGCTCAGTGTCCTGTCCAGAAATCTTCAGGAAGGATCAGCTTCAGACCTGCAGGAGCTGCGTGTCGCGGTTGTTCTGGTGTAACTACGACATTTACACTGTCCCCTGATGTCTCATCCCTGTCCGCGCTTCTTCCCCTCCCTGCTGACTCTGATCATGTACTTTCCCCCTAACAGGCGGATTCTGAGTTTCTCTGGTATTTCTCCTGTTGTAAAACTCACATTTTAATGAAAAAAAAAAAAAAAAAAAAAAAAAAAAAAAAAAAAAAAAAAAAAAAAAAAAGCCTTCTCTACTTCTCTCTCCCAGAGCCAGCCTAATTTATTTTCTGCTTCTTTTCTCCCAGAAAACTTCAAACTCCCCATGTGGACTCTTCAAAGG